CTTATACACATCTAGATGTGTATAAGAGACAGCTTTAACATAGGCCTTATTCCCCCTGCACGTGTCCCTCCCACCCACCCACCCACCCACCCATAATGCCACTCCAAAGCTTTTTCCCTGCCACAGCTCCTAATACATTATGAGAATTTATGACTTGTTCCCTTCAGTTATACCTGCACTCATGTCCCTCTATTTTCCCCCTTGAACCGCTATGCTCCTTCTGCTGTGCTCCTGCTACGCTCCTCTCATGTACCATGAGTTCCTTTTCCCCTTTAGGCACCCTGTCCCATACAGTTTCCCACACTTCCCCCTGTTTCTTCAATTTCCCTCCTGTTTACCTATTACTGCGGCAATTCTTCATAAAGCTCTAATTTGAAATTTCAGTCTCAAGTTTTCTCAACTCTTCTATTTCTACTGACAAATTCCTTGCCTGCGTGCTATGTTCTTGGGAGAGTAATTTTGCTCCTTTTGCACAACACTTGGAGTGTGTCCTTCCTAGGAACGGTAAAAATGATGTGGCAGACTACCGTCTTCACCCGAATAGAACCCCTGGTAATTATCGCCGTATCTGGGCTGAAAGTTGTGCCAAATACAGCTATAATGACCGGGCGTTATGTTCGGGTGAGGACGGTAGCAAGCTGGGACAACCACTGATATTGCAGTCACTGTCTGTCAAGGCTGCATATATCAATTGCTTCGCCCAAAGTGGACATGTCGGCGATCCTGCAAGAAAGGTGGGCAAGACACCGAAATATAGATATAAACATTCTCAAGAGCATAAGATTTTTTAAAAATATTAGACAATGCCTAGCAAAATTCACCTCGCTACAGTGGCAAATTGTACATAAATGTCTGCCCATGAATGACTGGCTCATCGATCACTCGTCACTAGAACAAAGAGGACTGGCAAACCCATAGTGCAAATCTTGAGTGTCTGTGTCTCCTTAAGAACAAATTAGGGGAAACTACTGAACACATTTTTATGCAATGTCCAGGATCAGTCTTCACGTGGCGCAGCTGGGACTGCATATGGAGAAAGCTAACGGATTTAGATTGACCTTGGGATTGAAAGGCTATTCTCCTTAGACACTGGCAACCGCAAGGCTTAATAAGTTAATCGCATCTAATTAGTAATTTCCAATCCCATTTTTTCGAAATTGGTAGGAATTTAGGAAAGCCATTTTATGGACATTATTATGATATAAAAGATGTGTTCATGGAAGAGAAGATGTTTGCCTGGAAGGAGCAGAAATTACAGAGCATATTGTGCAATTTGCACAGACAGAAATCAGAGCCCAGCCCATGGAGCCAGGGCCATAAGGACCTGTTTAAGGAAAAAAAAAGAAAAAAAAAAAGGGAAAAAAAAAAAGAAAAAGAAATCAGAGCCCAAGGGGATGGCGTTAAAACCAAATTACAAAATTTTGAACAAAAAAAATTACATCCAACAAGCAATTCGAACATTTGTCTTAGACTGGCTGGGAAGCGCTGTGGGGACGAGGCTGGGGGAGGTGATATGGCCAAGACAGGAAGGGACAGACTCCGACAGAGGAACCCCTTAAAACTTATAAGGGACTTCTAGCTCATCGGACTGGTTCACACTCCGTCCGGGAGCCACCCTCAGAGGCCTAATATTCTTTGCAGACCCATTCCCTCCTCCTGAACTGGCCCTTCTTGAAGTACAGAGGTATGATTTGGGAGAGAATTGACAGATCTTTGGGAAAGATGCTTGAGGGGCAGGGGTAGCTTGTGCTGAGAGTTTTATTTGGCGGTCCCTAGAGGACTGAAGAGGCAACCCTTGTTTTGCCTTTCACATACAATCAATCTTGGATATTGTCAAGGGACACTGGACCCGGTTTCCAGCTGGTGCTGCTCCCCACCAATAGATTGGAGCCACCTGTAAGAATAGGTAGGGGTACATGCTCTTATCATTACCCCTAGCTGGACCTTCAGGCTGTTTTTGTTCAAAACAAAAACAGAAGGGTAAAAATTTACTGAAAAAGACTAAAATGACCCAACCGAGGGCTGCGGTGGTTGAGGTTTACATATGTGAGAGATAATGTGACTATACTCTTTGGGCTTATCACTACATTCTTTCTGAGATTGTGGACCATGTTACTTCAAATTTATGCCAAATAGGTGTTTCCATAGATCACTAGCTCTTGCCCAAGTACTATGAGGCCTCTCTACACCTGATTAGGCACTGGATGATATCCTCCTAGCACACAGCGGAGGTGGAGGAACTATTTGGGTCACTATTTCTTCTCCTGCTACGGAGCCAAAGATTGACTGGGAGTGCAATATATGCTATCAAGCAGTGCAGGCTTCTAGTCTTTACGAACCTTGTTGTCTTGAAAATTTTCCACGGAACTTCAGAGATTTGCAAAACTTCCCCCTTAATACTTTCGCCCATCTCCTCTAGATAGAAGGTAAAGGGTTTTCGGTCCTTAGGAAAAGTAATAAACTATATATCCTTGCTTGACAGCACAGTTCATTATGAGAATGAGACTCCTGTTTCTGCCGCTGGTTTGCTAGGCTCATTTTGTAGGAACAAATTCTAGGTCTTGTAACGCTATCTGAACATGAAAACCAGAGTTGGGCTTAGACCTCATACCCTCTGATACATGCTCAGTCGAGCGATGTATGGGGAGCCAAGGATCCGCAAAGTGATGAAAAGGACTCGAATGGACAATGCAGTGTCAGCAAGCAATGTACATCCAGATACATATGGAAAATAGCACAATGTATACATATGAAAATAGCACAATGTAGTGCAGCGGAAGACTCAAAGATATGACCTGACCTGTCAGATACTGACGCGACACCCCATCATACACCACACATGTGAGAGAGGGAGGAGGGGCCACATAGATGGAAGAAGGGTCCCTCCTTGAACACCCCATCATACACCACACATGTGAGAGAGGGAGGAGGGGCCACATAGATGGAAGAAGGGTCCCTCCTTGAACACGCACATGGGGGGAGATACCACGGATGAGGAGATGAGGGAGAGGTGAGACGAAGATGGAGATGAGGGAGAAGACCAAGATTGCGATAGCGAGGTCCAAAAATAGTCTCCCTGCCGAATGTCCAATCAATGTCTGCCACAAAAATGTCGAATCAGATCCTGGGCCTCATGCCCGATGTAACCTCTGCCTGTAACCTCTCTCTCTCTCTCTCTCTCTCTCTCTCTCTCTCTCTCTCTCTCTCTCTCTCTCTCTCTCTCTCTCTCTCTCTCTCTCTCTCTCTCTCTCTCTCTGAAAGAAGAAGAAGAAGAAGAAGAAGAAGAAGAAGAAGAAGAAGAAGAAAGAAGGAGGGAGAAGAGATGGAGGGTGAGACGAAGAAGAAGAAGAAGATGTCCTCCTCGCTGTCTCACCTGCAGGTAACTGCCGCCATGTACTGACCGCGTGGTGTCCCTGTGCAGGTCGCTGGCACTTTGGCGCCCAGGTAAGTACCGCTGCCGCAGGTATGGCCTCCGCCTACCTCGCTCTACCTACACCTCTACCTCTAACGCAGCGCTGAGTCGCACTGCTCCAGCAGTGTGTCGCCCAAGAAGTGAGCTACTCAAACCGTGTCTCTGCCCTGCCCTGGCCCAGCTATAAGTATCGCTGGGCCTCGCGGGTGTGCCTCTGTGTGCCTCCGGTCCTAGGCCGAAAACGTGGCCTACGGGGTCTGGGTCCCGACCGGATGTCCAGACCCTCCCTGCTGATGCAGCAGGGACGTCCGCTACTGGACGAGCACGAACCTGGCCCAAACTTGCCAGCCTGCGAGCGAACAAGGCGCAAAGTGTGGCCTTTGGTCTGTTAGGACGGAACTGCAAGTCCAAAACGACGCCTGAACAGACAAAAATAGGACAGCAAACAAATAAATAAATAAATGCTGCCTCAAATCGCAACATGCGGCCCTAAGGCCGGCCGTGGGCCTCCAGGGCGCGCGTCTGAGGTGCGTGCGGCCTGGAACCCCCCAGCAACCATTGGACCCCCAAAATGGGGCCCGTGTGCAGGCTCAGCATGTAACACCCTCTCTTTATACAATAGGAAAGCATCTAGCATTTTGTTCTCTGGATCAATGTTCTCGATTGATGGGGTATCTTTCAGACCATGGTTGATGGGGAATGAATTGAAGAGAGGGAGATGCACTGCCAATGTTCGTTTATGAGAGAATTCATGTTGCTCTTGTAGGATGCGCTTCCAGGATTAGCACACCCCGTTCTCCTGGTTCCGATGTGAACTCTTGCCTTTGAAGATCTTTCCAACTTTCCCGTATACGGCGTACGCCCTAGCATAACTGTAGGTTCTTGGGTAGGTTGTGACATCCGCTTAGGTGTGTTCTTTGCTTGTGTTCCTTGACCAGCCCTCTTCTTTGTCCCCAGATATGACTAACCGTCCATACACCTTTAATGGCCCATGTTAGCCATCGGTACTCCCTGCGAGTCAGAGTCCATGGGTGGTCGCCCTCATCTTTAACCAAAGGATTGCAAAACAGTGGTGGTCGCAAATTCTCGCAATACTTCTTCCTTAGAACTTGATTTGTGTATCTTTTGATGCATTATGTCTCTCTGGATTTTTTTTTTTATTATCGGCGTGATCTGGTATGGTAAGGTTGCAGGATCATTGGGGAGGGTGACTCCTCGTGGACGGCTTCTTCTGTCTGTCTTCAGGCTCCATTCCTTGTTCATGACCTGAAATAACCTTGACCTATTGCATGGATTTTCTGCTGGTGTGAATGTCCTGATGCTATCTCCTGCTAGGTTATCCACACTAACTTCTGTTCAGTTAGTAATTTCACAATCGATTTGACCTGCAGAGCTTTTGTTTCCTGTTTGGGATTGATGATCCCTATCCTCCTGCTGTGGGCTTCCATTCTTTTTTTTTTTTTTTTTTTTTTTTTTTTAACCAAACGGAACCTAATGGTTCCGGCTCCTTATCCATTGTGGGGAGCGTCAGTCCGGTTCCTATTCCACCGGCAAGTCGGAGAAGAGTACAAGATATACACGCTCATGCTCCTCCCCCTTGTGGTGTGGAGGCCCGAAGGACGGCATTGATTACTTCCCTAGGGAAGGATGTACCACCCTTCACCCCTGCCTAAGTTAGCCTGATTTATTGGGAACCTGGATTTGTCTCGCAGCTGTTGCTAGAACCCTAAACCCGGATTTGGTACATCCATGTCTTTGATTTGTCTTCGGAGACCGTATCTGTAACTTGACTTGATGAGGTCGGAGGGTATAGTCTGAGATCTAGATGTCTCTTGAAGGGGATTGTTGGCTTTGAGGTGAGGGTGATCTTGGCAGGGGGGGTGTTATGTTTTGGGGAGTGGCTGGGTTGGGGAATGTGAGTTTATCGTGATGTACTAAGTATTGTAAGGAGGGAGTGGGGAGGGAGGGGTGGAGGGGGTTTAGCGGGTGGCTTGACGGGGGTTGAGTTAATGTGGGGGCAGACGGTTGAGGGTGCGGGGTGCATGATGAGGGGGAGGGGTAGGTCTGGTGGGGGGCAAGGGGTCTTAGATGGATCGGTTGTGGGTGAGTAGTGTTAGGGTGGATTGGGGCTGATTGAGTGTGGGGTGAGGGGGTCCTGCTGTGGGCTTCCTCGCAATGAACTGCCAGCCTTTTTAGGGGATGTATTTGGAGTGGCCAGCCCATAGATAAGCTCTAGCCGCCCTAATCACATCTGTGACAGTGTGATCAGGGACAATCCTCATTGATAAAGTGTACTACATCATTAAGCCGCAAGTACACAGCCCCAGCCTTGCAGAAAGTTTTTGTCGCCACAAGCTCGGAGGGGCCGCGCGGCGTGGGGCGCTGATGAAAGAAAAAACCGGCGGCCTCCGAAGTGGTGCACGGGTTTCGTGCTGACACCCGCGGGCCGATGTGTGGTGTACTGGTGCTTTAAGAAGATGGATCATGGAAGCGTTTAAAGTATGCAGTGGCTGATTCTTGATGTATCACTACCTGTCAATGTCTGGCTGAATGAGCGCAGGAGTCCGGAAAACAGGCCCCCTCAGAACGAGCTATGTGTAGTCTGCACTGCGGGAGCGAAGGAGACAGTGATACACTGCCTGCTAGCATTCCACGGTGTGGAGCAAATCTGGAGATAGTGGAAGACTTATGGGACAGCGCCTCGTCCCCGAAGGTACGTCTACGTTATTGCTGGGTACAGGACTACCCGGTTCTTGGCACCGCTTTGAGAAGAGAACCTTTCAATTACTGAGACATTATGCCCTGTGGACTATTTGGAAGAGGAGATGTCAGCAAACGGTAGAGAAGAGACAACTTTCACATTCAGGAGGCCCGGGACATCTACAAAAACCTCCTTGAGACCGACATTCGGTCACAATGGAAAAGGGTAAGGAGAAGGATCAAAACAAACCCGGTGGATGCTCAAGAATTAAGAAGAAGGTTTGTGCAAGGGGTCCTTGCTGAGGGAAAGGTGGTGATCATCAAGGGCTCCAGGCTCTTATTGCACTGGTGGACAGCATCAGCGAGTCAATCAGAGCAGGCGCCCTAAAACAGTCAAGGGTTAGGGGACAGAGGAGTAGGAACATTAGGGCGCAGTGTGAGCCCAAGGGCCCTTCAAGGAACACACGCATAAAACTGGAATGCAGGAGGAAGGGCTCTAGGGGCAGTGAACTTGTTTATACAAGCGATTAAACTAAATCGCAATAGGCCGAATTACGGGTAGAGCAAGAAGAAGCGGGCAGACGAGTGCTAGGGCTTAGGGTTTAAGGTGGGAGGATTACATGATGAGGAATGAAGGCATTTTATGACCTGGTTTGAAGTATGTTTCATTGAAGGGGTAAATTGCTAGAGGGAGGAGCTATGGTCAAGCCTATAGGCTGGACTGGCAGTGAATCCTTCCCAGAGGGAAGCAATCTATGCTGTCAGGGTTCCGCGGGCCGTAACATGGGGAAGCGTGATGTTGTGTTGTAATTCTTTTGCTGGTTTGCCGGTGGAATAGGAACCGGACTGACTCTCCGCAGAATAAAAGGAGCTGGCACTTCGTTTTTTTTTTGTTTAAAAAAAAAACATAGAAGTCACGGAAGCGTTGATAGTTAAAGCTCTTCCCAGAAAGGATGTGAAAGTCTGGCCCCATTTGCCCGTTTTATTGATTGCACTGGAGAGTTACCTTTTAGCCATACACAGCTTTGGTTGGTCCTTGGTTACCTAAATGTGCAGATATGTAGGGGGTGTTTCTGGTCTTTCCCACTCCATTAGACTTTCCATGCCTTGTGGTTGGGTGGATTTTGTCATCAGACAGCCACCACCGTATGGATCAAAGGGTCGTTGACCGACAAAGACGCTATGGCTCACATGACAAAGAGAGATCTGGGGGTGCAAAGGATCACCTTCTCTTACTAGTTTTCAGATAATAGTATCATAAACTCGTAATACTATAATAGGCCATTAATCTGTACACATCCTGTGGAGTCATCTGAACCCAGTTTCTGAAATTAGCAGGTACTCCCATTTGTTCGATGTTGGGGTTGCGGAATGTCCGGATGACCTGGTTGTAGGCTTCTTTGAAATCGAAGAACAATATGGTGGGAAGCACTGGGAACGCCATATTCCTCCATGTTCTAATTCGTCCTCTCCATTCGACTTGCATCATTCATCACCTGCGACAAAGTTGCAGGAACAGTGTTGTCTTCCTCCACCACCATGATGTATCCATCACTACCTTTGTTTACTTAGTCCTCTTCTCTTTTGACTTGTATCATTCTCTTTTATCTTTCTGTCCCTGAGCATATGTATCATCAAACAACTCTGAGATTCACTCTGTAAGGTTCACCACTGCCAGGTCTACTGTGTCGTGGATAGTAGCGAATACAATAAAAACCTGAGAGAAAGAGGGGCCAAAGGAAGCAGAGAAGAAAGAACACACAAAGCGATGGAAAACGGAGAGACAGGAGAAGGGATGACAGGAGGCATTCAAAAGTATATGAAAGACGAGCGAAGAAGGGAATGAGAGGGGAAATGGAGGAAGGGGGGGAAAGGATGATAGGAGTAAGGGAAAACAGAAGGAAGGGAGCTCAGTTGGTACACCCATGAACTGTTGAAATGCAGACCTTAGTTCAAATCAGATGAATGAAATTCCTGAATTACCTGGGGCTGGCCAGTTTCATGACGATATCTCAACGCTGTCGCCCTTTTTTTTTTAAAAAAAAAGGGAGGGAGGGAAGAAGGTGAAAGAAAGGGAGAGGGAAGAGAGGGAAGAGAGGGAAGAGAGGGAGGGAGGGAGGAAGAAAGGGAGACAGAAAATACCTGCAAATCCATCAGAATAAGATCAAAGGCAGTATTCTTTATCTTCTCAAGTGCTTCCTGTCCTCCTGATGCAGCCTCCACCTTTGCACCATATTTCTCCATGCTTTTGATAGCGGCTTTCCGGTTCAGTGCAATATCGTCAACCTGCAAAGAGGGAAGTGGAATGTGCGGAGAGCAAAATAAGAGAGAGATGTTTAACGGAAGGCCCAAAATTCGGGGTTTTTCGCCACATCACCACAAGCAATGTCATAAAAAAAATTGCGAACAAACAATGCACGCTCACAATACAAACAAACAGGCAAAAAAAAGCAGGAAAAAAAACGTCAAAAGCACTATAAATTTAGTATAAAAGTTAATAAAACCCTATTGGGAGTAGCTTTTGCGAGGCACAATGCCTCGATAAGCCCTACTGGGCCCCTATTTGCAACAGTGTCGGCCGCCCTAAGTGAAGGCAGGCTCGACAGACCACAAGAGGCCTATTTTTGACTCCTTCGCAACTGGGGGAAAATTCAGGCAGTTGCGCAGCGCCAGTTGGTTGAAAGCGCCCAGGCCCTGGCGTCCTTCTGAGTCAGGCCCTGGGTGAGATACGCAGCATGGACCCAACTCAGGCTGCGGGCAGTTGGGCGTGGGTAACTGTCACAGGCCTTGGGCCTGATCCATTTGGTCTGGGGCTCAGCCTCTCTGGGCCTACCGGAAGCTTCTGGGCAGGGGCCCAGCGCAGCCAGGCTACACGCAAGGCAGGCAGGCCGCTTCCATTTAGGAAAGGGCCTGCACACGATTAGGCATTCGGGCACTGGCTGCATGCTGCGCAAGCCCTGCTGCGCTAACGCTGGCCAGCGCTCACGCGCTCACGGGCGAGCCGGAAGGAGCAGGCAGCCATAGCCGAGCTGCGCTGCTGTATGCTGGATGGGGCGCATGGTGGTCCTTGGGTGCATGTGGCATCTGTGAGTTGGGGAACGAGGTTGTGAGTGATATGAGAGACATACCTGGTGCTTGAAGCGAACGGCATTGGCCGAGATCTGCTCGTACTTCGGGGAGCTGTTGACGTCATCGACGACATTTTAGATTAGGCTAGATAGGATCTGCCATCTGTAGTCTGGGCGCCGAGCGCCAGATAGGATATCGACATTAGTTCTTCGTTGATGATGATGAGACTATTCCAGCATTGTGAAATCACACTACGATTATTCAACTTGTCATGTATGCAAACAGCGAAACAGCAAATTGGCGAGATATCGTATCCACATAAGAGTTCTCTTCAAACTGGCTATGGCGACTGAGCGCCCACACAACTCACTGTTCGCACTCTGGATCACCCTGGATGTCCCACACGCAACACTCAGTATCACACTTCAC